AGGCCATAAGCCCACACAGCTCTGTGCTTGAGGTCACAGCTGGGAACCAGCCTGAGCCCCACCTCTGCCAGCCTCCCTACGTGGTCCCACAGAGGCTGACGGCTAGCAGTCTTCTTTCTGAGGCAGTAGTATCCCTGGGTTCTGACTACCTGGAGGAATACTTGTCTTCCCAGAGCCTCTGTGGGCTCCATCTTCAAAACTGTGGCCAAAATCGGACCATGCACCTCGCTGCTACCACACAGTCCAACGGCAGATCTGAGCCCCACATGAGCTAACACACATCCTCCCCTCCACACCATCCTCCCAGGCAAGTTTAAATTCAGAAGCCAGAGGAACCCTTTTAAGACAAGTGGCCTCGGGGCTGGGGATGTGGCTCAAGAGGTAGCGCGCTTGCCTGCAATGCATGCAGCCCGGGTTCGATCCTCAGCACCACCTATAAACAAAGATGTTGTGTCCGCCAAAAACTAAAAAATAAATATTTAAAAAATTCTCTCTCTCTCTTAAAAAAAAAAAAAGACAAGTGGCCTGGGGCTGGGATTGTGGCTCAGCGGTAGAGCACTCCCCTAGCAGGGGCGGGATCTGGGTTCGATTCTCAGCACCACTAAAAATAAAGGCATTGTGTTGTGTCCATCTACACCTAAAAAATAAATATTAAAAAAAAAAAAGACAAGTGGCCTTAGTAGCCCTCCATGAGCTGGTCTGCCCCGTACCTTGTTAGCCTGGCTGTGATGTCTCCCACTCAGCCCCGAGAAAGGCCTTCGCCCTTCACCCCTTCCCAGCACCTCAACCTGCCATTCTCACTCCTAGCCAAGAGCTTCTCACAGGTTCCTGTGCCTGCCCAAATGCTATTCCCATGGATGGCTTCCTTAGCTGCTTTAAATCTTTGCTCTTTAAATCCTTCCCTGTAAGTCACCCAGACCATGGCTATTTAAGACAGCAACTGTCCCCACCCTGACCCCAGCCTCTGGACCCACTGTCACACTACACATTTACTCATTAGGTTTTACGCTTTCATCTGCACTGTCCTACAAGAAGGTAAGCCCTCAATAATGACCTCTGTTTAGTCCACTGGTGTATCCTGAGTGCTCGTAAGTCTTGTCAGCTATCTGGCAATTTGGTTTTTTTGGGGGGCAGTGCCGGGGATTGAACCCAGGGCCTTGTGCTAGGCAGGTGCTCCACCGGTGAGCTACATGCCAGCCCTGTCTGTCAGTCTGTGGAATGAACTAATGAACACTGACCGAAGAGCCCATGGGCTACCTCACAACCCGCCAGAGGCCAATTCTCTCATCCCCTGCCACGGTATCAGCTGTCCTCAGGCCCTGCTGCAGTGGCCTCCTGAAAGCACTGTTCCCCTCCCAGCTCCAGGGCCATCCAGCAACATACAGCCCGAGATAAAGAGGAATGGAGACTGTTCTGCACTGGAATCTTTCAGTAGCAGACAGCCTAAGTGTCTGGGCAGGACACACAGGCCCAGAGTTCCCCACACACTGGGATTACCCAAAGGCTCCACTAGTGGTAACCACCCTAAGCACAGGGGTAGCAAAAGGTCTCAACCCCAGCTCCAGCTCCAGGATCACCGCTGGCTTCCCAGAGTATCAGACTGAGAACAGTTATGTGACACAACCTGGCTTGCTCCGAAAGCGCACTGTGATGTCTTGGGCTGGAGAGTGGCAGGAATGGAAAGCCTGTCACCTACTTGCTGTCCCCAGAGGCTTTGCAGGCGCTCCAGAGCAGCGCTGTGCAAGAGGACTCTCTAGGACAGTGGAATGTCTGCGCTGTCTGCTTAGCGGCCAGGAGCCACACGGCTACCAAGCACTTGAGATGGGGGTAGTGTGTCTGAGAAACTGAATGAACTAATTTTAAATTAAAATGGATTCACAGGGGCTGGGGTTGTGGCTCAGTGGTAGAGTGCTTGCCTAGCACATGTGAGGCACTGGGTTCGATCCTCAGCACCACACAAAATAAGTAAATAAAATAAAGATATGTGTCCATCTACAACTTATTAAAAATAAAACAAAAACAAAAATGGACCAGGGGACTGCTGGTTACCTTATTGGACACTCCAGCTTTAGACAAATGGTCTTTTATGCTCTACTGACACCTCAAAGCTAATGTCCCCAGAAATGGAAATAGCACCAATCCTCAAGATGAGCACCTAGCCCAAAGCCCACACTGCCAGGCTTTAGAAATTGCTAAGGTCAGGCCCTAGTTTCAGCTTAGAGTCCACAGGATTTTCCATTCCCCACAGCAGAAGCCAGGAGGAGGTCAAAGTCCACAGTTGGTACAACCTGTTGACAAGGTGTCTACTAATCCATCTCTAACCAAAAGACACACAGTAGAAGGGGGAGGAAAATCTGACCCAAACCAGGTTCCCACACCCTGATAAACAGAGGTATGCCCACACCAGGCACTATGTTAGTCTGAGCTAAAGCCCCCAGCCCCTACAAAGCCCACAAGTGGGAAGTACAGGACCCCTCCCCCAACATAGGAATGGCAGACAGGAAAAAAAAGTAGAAAAACAATGTTTACCTGTTGTGCACTTTTAGATAATATTTGCTGAGGAACTTTTTATGACATGTGGGGCATTCAACCGGCACCGCTGTACCTTTTCTGTTCTCAGCGGGCTCGGCTGCTAGGGAACCTGTACCCAGAGCTGGCTCTGCAGCACAGGGCTTTCTGATTATGTTTGACTTCCTCCTGGTCAGCACAGTCTCAGGCTCAGAAACGTAATCGCCATCCCCGTCGTCCTCAACTTGAACCACCACTTCCCACTAGAGTAGAAGAGGCAGCAGGAGGGGGTGGGGTCACCAAATTAATCAGCAGGGGTTGTGGGGACCCAGCGTTAGTTCCATCCCAAACCCCAACCCAGATGAGTCCTTTCATCAGGGATTGGTCCCTTCAGGAGCCCAGGGCAGACATCTGAATCTTGGATATGGGGAGAAGTGACTGTTTCTATAAGACACTGGAAGCCTGGCCAGATTTCACTACTTGAGGGAAACATCTATAACCCTGATGCTGCCCACTCCACCCCCAAAGAAGTTGGCAATCGTAGACAGCTGTAACTCACAGAATGGTCAGCTGAGGTCACTGGCTTCCTATGTTCAGAGAAAGCCTGTTCCACTACAACAGAGATTCTACTTTGGGGTCCAGAGCACCCCAGAACTGTCCATCTTTTCCCCAACTTTTGCCTCCCTGGTTCCAGCACCCTGGGCACAGTACCTCATTACACCCGCCCTGCAGCTGGGCACCTTCAGCCTCAAAGGGCCTTGGGGGCACTTTGCAGTCCTCAGACTCTTTGTCATCTGAGGGACAAGGCTTCAGAGCCTGCTTGAGTTTTCCAGCAAGGAAGGAGGGGCTCTCACTCTGAATAGGGGAGCTGAACTGGGACCTCTGGGGGCTGCGACTGCCTCTAGGCTCCTGATCCCTGGGGACTAGGCCAAGAGTCCTTGTAATCTCCTCTTCCTCCAAGTCTGTTGGCTCCTTAAAGTGGCTGTTCACATCCTGAGGGGCAGGTTTCCCCAACCCACTCTGGCCACCTGATGCCTGTCCCACTGAAGTTTTGGGCTGGAAGCTCTGGCACAGCTCCACAGCCTCTGGTACTCGCAACTCCCTGGCTGCCAGGAGCACTTGATCCCGGTTCCCTGAGGTGAGGGCGAGGTGACCAGTGTAGAAAAAGTCCAACAGGAGGCCAAAGATCCCAGAGAAGCCAGCAGGGAGGACAACACTGCCCCCTGGGCCATCCCCATAGAGGCTCTGGAAGAAGTGGCTGCAACAGGCGAGGACACTCCAATGTGCCTTGAACACCAAGCCCCCCACGTCTAGGGTGGCATCGCAGTACTGGCCCTTCTCCCGCTGCTTGTTGAGCTCCTGCAGAACCCTCACACTGTGCTGAACGAAGGAGCCGTCCATGGTCTGAAGGAGAAGAAGGCGGAAGTGACACCCTGGCCAGCCCAACCGAGAATAAGAGAAAGCCCCTCGTTTTGACAAGATCGAAAAGGGAGGATGGACGCTACTCACGCACACTAATCAGGAAAAGGGCCGAGGTCAAGGTTAAAGGGTGCACGCGGAGCACAGGAAGGGACTGACAGCTGGGGGCGGGGGGAGCGGGGGTCATACTGGATTGGCCAGAGGATGGTGCGGGCAGGGCATGGCGGGGACAGGACAGGGTCGTGGAGTGGTGCGGCTGGGAATAACGAAGTTTGAGGGAAGGGGGCGGCAGACGAGTGCGAACAGATCGGCGGGGCTCAGCCAGAGGACCCCGAGCCGGGGAGGGCGGCGGCAGCGCACAGGTGAGCGGAGCTCACGCCGCACCCGCAGGTCGCGAGCGGCGGGCGAAAGGCGGCCGCGGCCACACTACCGTCGGCGGCTAAGGCGGCCCGCAGTCCCCCTCCCGTGCCCCGTGCCCTCCTCACCCGGACCGGTCCTCCCTGCGCCCGCTGCACCGGCCCCACTTCCGTCTCTTCCCTTCCACAGCCCACGGACCAACTGCCCCGGCCCGACGTGCCCTGCCCACCGAGCGCAGACGCCGCCGACGCCGCGCCGGATGTGACGTCAGGGCGCGCCGGCCCGGGGGAAAGACTCCGAGACTTAGGGTTCTCAGCTCGGCCCTGGGGGCGGGGCCTCTGAGAACCGCCAATGGACGTAGGGGGCGTGGCCGAGCCAAGTTTTCCAGCGACGGGCCCACCTTCCGGAGTTGCTTGGCAACGCCACGCTTGGCCGGGGCTGCTAGGCGCTCAGACTAGGACCAGCGAGGCCCCACCCTCTCCAGACAGCATGCGCCAAGGGGACGTAAACACGCATTTCACCTCTTTATTGGCAGCCCCCGGAACCTGGGGTCTGTTCACCCGTGCGGTGACACATCGCATGCCAAGATTGAGACGCCCAAAGATCTCCCGGACACTGCAGGCCCTCCACCCAGCTTGACCAACTTTAGCTTTCAGGGCAGGATAGATTGACAGCCCACCCCGCCCCGCCCCAGCTGGCTTTGCCTGACCCGCTGCTCAGGAGGGGCTGCAACGCCTAGTATAGTCCTGGATGGAGGCCTGAAAGTGCTCTGTGTTATTGAGGTCTGGGCGAAAGAGGATCACGTAGCACTTGGGGAGGAAGTAACCACTGAATCCGCTGCTCAGGCAGGTCAGAAAGGCCAGCACATTGACCACGAGCAGGTACTTGCCCTGGTAGACGCTGGCCACGGTGAAAAAAGTAATCCAGGATACAAAGTTAAGGAGTTGGCTGAAGGTGACACATTTGGCCTCGTTGTAGTTTTCTGGCAAGTCCTTGCCCAGATAGCTGCAGGCAAAAGCACTGACCGAGAGGAGGCCATTATAGGTGAAAGCCAGCAGGAAGCCCAGTGAGTTGCTCTCTGTGCACTCAAGCACCACCAGCTGAGGAAAGCGTTGATATTCCCTTGTGGGCAGTGGCGTCCACACTACAAGCCAGATTAGACAGATGAGCAGCTGGGCCATTGAGCTGATCATCACAAACAGGCCAGCACCATGACATTGGACCCAAGCACGGTAGAACCTGGGCACCTTGGTGGAAAACTTGAAGATAATGATCAGTTGGAAGGAGCGAACTGTCAGGCAGGATAGGAAGATGGCAAACCCCAGGGAAAAGAGTGCCTGGCGCAGCAAGCACGCGGGCAGCGTGGGTTCCCCAAAGAAGCCATAGACGCTGCAGCTACCTCCTGCCAGGGAGCCCAGCATGAGGAAGCATAGCCTACCTCCAGCCGACCTCACCACAGGGGTATCTAGGTGCCAGGCAAACAGGCCAGCAGTCCCAACCAGCAGCAGCAGCAGCAATGTATTAGCTGCTAGCAGCACCCAAGAGATGGGTTCCTGCCAAGTCAAAACCACCACTGTGCGTGGGAAGCAGGTCTGGCTTCCCTCAGGTGCCCACTCTTCTTTCCCACAAAGCTGGCATCCATAGAGGTCTGAAAGGGAAAACAAAGGTGGTTCCTGAGAGCCAGTTGAACAAAGTAGGATTGGGGAAAGGAGGCTTGCAGGTCCGCTAGATGCTGCGAGACCTGTATCACAGCAGCTTCCTCCGGAAAGCATATTGAAGCGGGCAGTGTCAGGAAAGCCTGGAGTGCAGCTGGAGGCCAAGTGTTTCCTCAAAGTGTCTGTGTCAGTTACATACTCTGGAGAAACATGGATAAGTTCTATGTGGCTCATGATCCAAAAAGGGGTTTGAAAACCCAGAGGGCCTTATAGTGGTCGCTCTGCCCCCATGCCAGTGAGGCTGAGCTCCAGTACGAGCAGCCAGCCCCAAAGGAAGGATGTGGTCATCTCTTTCCAGCACTTCCACTAGCCAAATCCACTTCCTAGGCTTCTGCTCTGTGATTTCTGAGTCCTGACTCTCTGTGGACAGAAGGCATAGTGTCCCATCCCCACATCACCACAGAGAAGTAAAAGCGAAGAATGTGGCCCCTAGTGTTCAGCTCTGGGCTGAGCCTTTAGCTACATAAGTTGCTCTCTGGCCTCCACTTTGTGTCACTGGGTGGTATACTCTCCTATGGCAGACATTCTACCAGGTGTCTAGGAGCTGGCTGTGTTCAGCATGGGCAACAGAAGGGACTTGCCACAAATAGGATGGGAGAGTACAAAGAAAACAGTAGCTACATCCGGTGGAATGAAGAGGTTGAACTCAGGATAAGATGCCTCTGCAGATGTGACATGAGCTCTCTGATAGAGGACAAACCATGGTCTAGAGATTTCCTTCTGTTGTTTCTGTCTGCTTGATCAGAATTCAGTCTGGAGGCAGGTGTCTGTCAACCTGCACCTAACTGGCAGCCCATGACTGTCCTGGGGCTGAGTATACACACGGGGCCTGGGAGAGGTTCTTTACCTGCTGGACAGCCCCTTGGAGTGCTGGCCCACTCACTTTGTTCACTCACCACTCTTGTTGAGGAAGGTCCCAGCCTCACAGGGCACACACTCAAAGCAACAGTGGTGGAAACCCAAGACCACCCGATGGTGCCCTTCAACACAGTCTCTGGTACACACAGATGCGGGAACCTGTAAGAAGCCACAGGTGTCCTGTAGCCACACGGAGGGGCCCAAGTCAAAGGACAGCTTACTTGTGAGACAGAGGCAGAATCTCCATGCCTGTGCCTTCGGAGATCACTCCCAGGCAGAGCCCCTGGTGGTGTAAACCTACGGCATCCCAGTGAGCATCTATCTATTAGCACATGAAGCCAGCATCCCTGGCAGGGCTGGGTAGAATGATGGCAGTCTGATACCTGGGGTCCGCTTCCTGCCCTGGGTAAGTGCCACTTTCAAGCTCCTGGCCCCCATGAAGCAGTTACCTGGTGAGCCACCACATCCCCATTACCTGATTGTTCTTTCCGTGCCACTGGATATTGGTCTTATTTATGTCCAGCCGAACTGGAGACCATGTGAAGGAGCCAATGACTCTGAAGGTCCACTTGGACCCAATCCAATCCCAAGCAATGATGTTATAGCCACTGAGAGGATCCCCATTGTCATCAAATGTCACAGTGTCCTCATGTAAAAGGAAATTCACCTTATAGATCTGCTCCAAAAGCTAAAGCAAACAGAGATTGTAAAGCTATGGCAGACCACGTAGACACAGACTGCCAGAAGCAAGTGCCAGGGGTCTCTTGGGCTCCCAACCCGGTGATTTTACCCCCGGAACACCTGTTGTCCCTTTCTCGGAGCCCTTCCTACCAGCCCTCCCAGAGAAGGCCTCCAGCAAAGGATTCCTTTGCAGAGATTTCTTTTTTTAGCACCTTGCAGAAGGCAAGGTTCAGAGAGGAGAGGATTTGCCTAAGGGAACACCATCCCTCAAATCACTGTCTCTTGGGGTGACCAAGAGTGCCTACTCTGTTTGTCTCAGGATTGGCTCTTCTCCCCGATACCAGGGGCCTGGGGCTGGGCTCTTACCTGCCAGGGGTAGACTTGGCCCCTGGAACAGGTTCCAGAGGCACAACCTAGGAGCTGGTGGAGGCCGTGGGCTGCCGCATACACTGCCCGGTACACGTTGTAGGCAGAACTCATGGAGAAGGCCCCAAGCTTGGGCATCGTGTATTCTGTGAAAGTTTGGCACTCTCTGCAGAGCTGATTTGTGCTGCACCAGGAGCCCTTAGAACAGGACCTGGGGGCTCCCTTGTCGGCACGGGCATAGGCCTCCTCAAACTCCTTCAAGCCAGGGATAAGCCTCTGCTGTATGGCCACGCCCAGCACTGTCCCAATGCCCTGGATCCCAGGCACGTTGGTGATATGTGTGGAGATGGCCCAGTCTTCTGAGGCGATCCACACCTTTCCAGTCAGTTTGGCCAGCACCACGGACTTGAAGAACACCCTGGCTAGCGGCCGGCTGGAGAAAACCACCACCACGGTTGTCCTGGCTAGGGCCAGGTGGCGCATCATGCTCCACATCTCCTTGTCGCCCTCTTGGGCAGAGGAAGACATGATGCCTTTGAAGGCAATGCAGATGCCCCGCTTTGTGGCCAGGTCCTCCAGTGCCTGTACTCCCCCCTGCCCGTAGTCACCGTAGCTGCCAACCAGAGAGATCCAGACCCACCCGAACTTCTGTAGCAGCAGCACTATAATCTCCACTTGGTACTTGTCACTGGGGATGGTACGCAGAAAAGAGGGGTACTGCCACTTCGAGCTGAGCACCGTGCTGCTGGCCTCATAGCTGATCTGTGGGGGTCCCATTCAGTGAGATCAGCAGCGACCTCAACTGAGGTCCCCCAGTGCCAGCCCTGTGCTGGGTGTGGGGACATGAAGAGGAAGGAGAACAGCAGTGCCATGCTTGACCCATGAGTCAGAGAACCCATTGTGGAGGTTCCATTGGGAAGTGGGGTGCTGGGGAGCAGTGGAATCTGCCTGGAGGGCCAGCTGGAGGAGCCCTGCATCCCAAGCACAGGGAACGAACCCTGCCTACAGGGAGGGGAATAGTGTGGTGTGGCTGGACATCAACAAGGGCTTCCGCCTGGCCAGGGGTCCTCTTCATGAGTGAGGCAGGGCTGGAGGCCTTCACTCTTTTTTTTTTTTTTAATTTTTCATTAGGGATTGAATCTAGGGGCACTCGACCACTGAGCCACATCCCCAGCCTTATTTTGTATTTTATTTAGAGACAGGGCCTTACTGAGTTGCTTAGTGCCTCAACGCTACTAAGGCTGGCTTTGAACTCACAATCCTCCTGTCTCAGCCTCCCGAGCTGCTGGGATTACAGGCATGTGACACTGCACCTGGCTAGAGGCCTTCACTCTTGATCTGAGGCCTTGGTCTTCATTCTCTAGGCCATGGGGAGACCCTGAGAGTGTTTGAGGTAAACAAATCTAATTCCAGTGAGAAAAGTGAAGGTGAAGACCAGGTGAAGAGTCGTCATGGTCTGAATGAAGGCTGGGGCAGTGCAGAGTGGGGGCTCAAAGCCAGGCTTAGCATCTTAGTGAGGCACTTAGCAACCTGGTAAAATAAAATATAAAAAAGGGCTGGGGATGTGGCTCAGTGGTTAAGCACCTCTGGATTCTATCCCTCGTACCAAAAAAAAAAAAAAAAAAAAAAAAGTCTCTTGTGAGGAGAGAGGTGCATTCCACATGGAACCCGTCAGTGCATAAGTGGCAGAGTCTGTGGGCCATGGATACTCACAAGTCAGAACACAGGGGACTGAGAGGTGCTCGTTGGCTTTGGAAATCTAGAAGGTGCCCTCCCTAATGGCAAGAACAAGTGTGGTGGGGCAGAATTCTGGACCACAGGCAGAGCAGCAAATGAGAGGGCGGAGCAAGTGAGCAGCGAATGAGAGGGCGGAGCAAGTGAGCAGCACGCTGGGCCTGAGTTCTAGTGGGAAGGAACAGGAAGAGCCTGGAAGGGCAAAGGGAGCCCCACATGCCTACAGCCCAGGGTGGGAGACTGATGGGCCCAAGCAGGAGTTGGTGCCAACAAGCGGAGGAGCACCCCACCTCTGAGCCAGGAGGAGGAGAGGCCAGGAGCCAGGAGGATGTGAAGGTTATGCACAGGAAGGAAAGGTTTTCAGCTGTCACTGAAGGAGATGGAGCCTTTGGATGGAGAGAGGGCAGTGTGGGGGGGCGGGCAAGAGGGAGCAGTCAAAATGGCAGCGGTTCCCAAGGGGAATGGGTTTCAAGAGGGCCAAGGCAGGGGATCTGGAAGCATCCCCTGGAGAGGAAGGAAGGCGGTTCTGGGGCAGGTGGGGACCTCTGCAGTGTGACTAAAGAACAGGGACCAGCCCCAGATCCCCAAGGGCTGGACTAGCCTTAGAGGGCGCAGCGACTCCCACCCACTTGTCCTAGCTCAGGTTGGATTTGCCAAACCACTGAGGACCTTGCTTACCAGGGGCACCAGGAAGGGACTCAGCATGGCAGCAGTGGTGACAGCGTTGTTGGTGTTGTCGGGCCCGATGAGTGCCATCACCTTGGGGGAGTAGTGGGAAAGGTTTTCTTGGATCTCCATGTGGTATGTCCCCGGCAGGCAGAGCATGTTCAATGTGGCATAAAAGTTGGCTGACTCCGAGCACACATCATACAGCTCATACCCCAGGGTGACATTGGGCAGCAGGGCTGTGGAGTTGTTTATCTCCTCAATACCAAACCTCATGGCCTGGAAGAGGTGGTAGCCATGGCCATTGAAGCTATCAGGCCTGCAGGGAAAGCAGAGTGAGAGTTGAAAAGGTCAAGGTCCCTCTAAGACCCACCAGCCTCCTAGCGTCCCAGGCTTGTGGGGTAGAAAACAACTCTGAGCCGGGAGGCTGAGGCAGGAGGATCATGAGTTCAAAGCCAGCCTCAGCAAAAAAGTGAGGTACTAAGCAGCTCAGTGAGACCCTGTCTCTAAATAAAATACAAAATAGGACTGGGGATGTGGCTCAGTGGTTGAGCGTCCCTGAGTTCAATCTCTAGTACAAAAAGAAAGAAAGAAAACCTTTGAGGTCATCTGCCCAGGCCTGTACTGATATAACTTCAGCATGGGCCCAGCAGCACACACAGTTCAGGATGTGTTGGCAGGCCTGAGGAGAGGCAGGGCTGAACTTACAGAATGTGGCCTGCCCCACCAGGCCCAGAGTCCTGCAGCAGAGCAACCTGCTGTATTAGAGGTTCACTTTAAGGAACTTCTCTCATGATCATGGGGGATGGTGAGCCAGAAATTTGTAGGGTAATGACACCAGGTGGGATATTCTGGCAAGAGCTGATAATGTAATCTTGCGTTCAAAGGCAGAATTCCCTTCTATGCCAGGGGCTGGGGATATAGCCAAGACTCAGTCTCATAAGGTCTTCGACTGATTAAACGAGGTCCACCTATGGTTTGGAGGGTCGTCTGTCTCTTTTTATTTTCTTTTCCATAGTGCGGATGGAACCCAGGGCCTTGCCCATGCTAGGCAAGTGCTCTACCTCTGCGCTTCATCTCTCTCTCCTCTATTTTAAATTTTATTTTGAGATAAGGTCTTGCTAAATTGAATTTACAACCCCTACCTCAGTCTCCCAAGTAGCTGGGATTACAGGCATGTACTGAGTACACCATTCCTGGCTGTACTCAGTCAGTTGATTTAAAAGTTAATCACATCCAAAAAATATTCACAGCAACACCTGAACTAGTACAGGTTCAATGTGGCATAAAAGTTGGCTGACTCTGAGCACACATCAGACAGCTCATACCCCAGGTTGACACTGGGCATCAGGGCTGGACAAACGGACATGTAAAAATAACCACCACAGGGGCTGGGGTTATGGCTCAGTGGTGGAGCGCTTGCTTTGTACATGTGAGGCACTGGGTTCAATCCTCAGCACCACATAAAAATAAATAGAATAAAGGTATTGTGTCCATCTACAAATACACACACACACACACACACATGCATATATATAAATAACCAGTACACCTGCTTCACCTGGTTAACTAGTTAACTAGTGCTTCTCACTGGGACCTTAGGAAACTGCTGAAGGCCTGTGAGCCTCTGTGCCCCTACTCTGGGAACTGCTGTCACAACAGGGACAAGCTGAGGATGTGGTTGGTCCCTGACTGAAGGGCATGCTAGCCTGTTGTGCTCTCCAGCATCCTGACCTCCTAGAAGGTTCCCCCATCTTTCGCATCCCTTCTACTCCAAGTTCCTCAGGGGAGGCCCACTGTTTCCTGCACACAAACTCCTTCAATTACCTGAAGCCAGTTTCCTGGGGTCCTCCCCCCAGCCTCTCTCCCAGCCTGGGATTCTTTTCTTAGCTCCTGCCTGCAGGTTCTGACCTGGTCCACATTTCAGAACCTGCATCCTGGGCCAGCAGTCAGGAGTGTTTCAAGTGCAAGCCTCCCACGGAGACCAAAGGCATTCCCCAGGCTCCTGTGACAGTTCACAAGCAGCTGTCTTCTTTCAGAGAGAAGTAGTAAGCATTCTCTACCTGGATGGCCGTCCCAGGGAGGCTCCTGTGTGGGGCATCTGCCTCAGTCCTTTCTCCCTCTGGGAGAAAAGTCAGGAAACTTGAATGGACTCACTCTAACAGCAAGGACAAAGGAATCCATCACAAAATGGAAGCTGGCAGAAGCATTTGGAGGTGGCAACTGTGGAGGGAGGGACTGGGGTTGGGAGCTCAAGGAGTAGCCCAGAGGCCAGTAACAGGTCACACTAAGTGGCAGCTCTGCTGGTCCCTCACTTACCTGTCACACAGGGTCACCTGGGGTCTGCGTCTCACCTGCAGACAGTCAGTATGGAGAGGGAATAGGCCTGCAAGGAGGAAATCCCCTGGGAGGCTGAAGTCAGGGGAGAACCACGTCTTGTGGCAGCTAAAAGCCCAGCAGCAGGCGATGGAGAGTTGCAAGACTGCCAGGTGAGCCACCCACGGTGACATACTGGCCAGGCGCCCCTGTGCCCAGCATGGCAAGCAGCAGCGTCTGACAAAGCCTGCCTTAAATAGAAGAGAGGGCAGCTGCCCAGGCACTTCACAAGTTGAGGCTCCTGAAAGGGGTGGGACTGGAGTCCAGTTGTAGAAGCTAGGGTGCTTCTTTTGGTTTTCCGGGCCTGTGGTCCCACTCAGGAACTGGGCAGGACCAGGGCATGGATGCAAACCAGGCAGCACCCAGTGACCCCTCCTCTGGACGATGTGGGTTTTGTCCTTGTTCTGGTGCCTGTGGCTTCACCTGGCTCTGAAAGGGAGCACTAGCATTTTGAGCACCAGGGAAGCTGGAACACAGTTTCTCTGACTGCTGTGGGCTTCTATCAGTGAGTTGGGGATTTTTGTTTTGTTTTGGGGTCCTGGGGATTGAACCCAGGGGCGCTTCACCACTGAGCTATATCCCCAGCTCTTTAATTTTTTTTTCTTCTGAGACAAGGTATAGTTAAGTTGCTTAGGGCCTCGCTAAGTTGCTGAGGCTGGCTTTGAACTCGTGATCCTCAGTCTCCGGGGCCCCTAGGATTACAGGAGTACTCCACCATGCTTGGTTGGAAACAGGGTCTTGCTGTGTTGTCTAGGCTGGGCTGTGACTCCTGGGCTCAAGTGATTCTCCTGCCTTAGCCTCGCCAAAAACTGGAAGTACAGGTGTGCACCACCGAGCTGACAGGCAGCAGGCTTTAGAATCCTTTACCTGTGCCTCAGTCAACTGGGATATGGCTTTGAATTGACATGCCCATTCTCAGTTCCCAATTTTCTGACACTGACCGAATCATTATAGTTCAGCCTTGTTATCCAGGGTTGGTCCCTTCAGCCCGAAGACAAATACATGCAAACAAAAGGTATGCAAAAAGGCTGACTTTGTTTAAAATGCCAATCTTGGAGCTTTTTCTAAAGGAAAAATAAATCCCAGGTGGATTTCCGGAGGAGACCTGGTGGTTTCTGGCTTTCCCTCTCCAGCCGGCCCGGGTTGAACTTTTGCATAATGTAAATGGGGCCCACTGTGGGACCTCAGAGGCCCCCAGGCCAGCAATAGCCTCTGCGGAGGCCTTGGGGCACCTCATGTTCTGCCGGAGGTCGTCGGCAGAGGGCGCCAGCCACCCCCGAAGCCGCTCCAGCAGGCCGCCCCTAGGGCCACGGAGGGAGCGACGGGATCTCGCGAGATTCTCGCGCGGCGGGCACAGAACGGACAGCATGGCTGACTCGGTGGTGCAGTTGCGGCGCGGCCCTAGCCGCTCTTCGTGGCTGCGGGTCCGCAAGGCCCGGCCCCAGCTCATCCTCAGCCGCCGGCCCCGCCGCCGGCTCTGGACCTTGCGCTGGAGCGGCCGGCGGCGCCTGCGACGACGCCTGCTGCAGGCCCACGCGGCGGGCGCGGACTGGCTCGAGGACTCCGGCCAGTGCTCGCGCGCGGCGGCGCCGCGGAGGCCCAAGGCCGCGGACCCCGAGCCCGAGCCCGGCCCCGAGCCCGGCCCCGAGCCGGAACCGGCTGCCTCCACGAAAGGCCCCCAGAACCTCCCCTCCTGGTCCGTGCGGCAGCTGGGCCCGGGCCGCGCGTTGATGCTGCTGCCCGCGGAGCAGGTGGGTGGCGCCTCCCTCCGGTGGCCCTGCGGCCGGGCGCCCGCGGGTGCCGGTGGGTCGTGCTGGATCGCGTTTGGCGCTCCCACCCGCTTCTGAGCGGTCAGCGTCCTCTGCTGCACGTGCTTCCGCACCGAGGAGCAGGTGACCTCCCGGTATCGGGCAGGAGAGCGGGCGGAGCTGCCGGTCCACTCAGACCCGGCACCGGCGGGAACGAGAAAGGCTTGGCAGGCGGTGGCCTGGTGAGGAGGGTGCATGGGTGCATGGAGCGAGTGCAAGGCTGAGCGCCGCGCGGGCCCTCTGCTTCGCGTTGTGGAATTCCCAGGCTTTCTCTGGAGCCGCCGGGGAGCGTGACCTGAGGTTAAGACCGGGGGCAGGGGCGCAGCATCCCACCAAAGCAAGGAAATGAAGGCATTCTGTCCATCTACAACTGCGAATAATAGTAATGATAATAATATGGCATGTGGGGGCACCTTGTACTGTGTGTTCTGTTGTGTAAAACATCAGCCGCCTTTTGATATGTAAATGGCAAGTTAAGATTTTAGAATTTCTCTATCATTAGTAACAGGGTCTGTAATCATTTCCGCATTTTTTCCCTTCCCCCATTAGACTTTTACTTTTAGCGGGATCTGCCGTTTGACTTGCCTCTATGGCCAGGTGGAGGTGTTTGGTTTCCTCATCAGCCAAGGCCAGCCTGCCCAAGATATCTTCTCTACCTATACCCATGCGTACCTGACCATTAATGCAGTTAATTACTCCATGTCTGAGAAGAGAGAGAAGGAGATGAGAAAGGAAGCCCGGATTTTGCTCAGATCTCATCTTAACTTGGGTAATGAAAAGAACTGGGTAATTTACTGAGGGCCTACTATCTTAAAGTTAACGATTTTTACTGCTTACCGTGGTGTACATATTGTGCTAAATACTTTTTAAAATCCCTCCCAAGGGTCCTAGGAGTTAGAAGAGTTAACTTTGTTATTTTTCACGATTTTTCAAATGATCATAATTGCCAAGGCCTGAAGCCATAATTCCAACTCTCAAAAAGTTTACAGTTTGAAGAGATGCTGGAGCAGAGAATTTAGATGAATTGCTACTTCTACAGTGGTCTGCTTTTCTCTTTACAGAGGACAGATGTTGGGCAATGAAGAATTTTTCTCCTTTGTGTTCCATTGTGATGCTAGAACGTGTGAAAAACTCCACTGTAAACTTCCTAACCAGCTATCCAGGTTTATCTTACATTTTCACGCAAGAGGTATAACCAGTTCATCCAGAGTTTTGTTAATTATTTGCACTGAAGTTGTCATATCAAATGACTATGGAGGATGCTCTCTTGGAAGATCTATCCTGTTAGTGTGGTAGATCCTACAGAATGTCATGTGTGCCAATAGTTAGAAAGTTGAGGGTTATCATGAGAAATGTCTCTCCTCCCTTCCTCAGTTTCATCATCCAGCAGAGGCCATCATTTCAAGTTGTAGTTGGTTAATGGTTACTTTCTCTAAACAATGCAAGAATGACTTAAATCATTTACACATCCATCTCTCCTTCTCATCTCTAAATTTTCGTTGGCTGTGTTATTAATCTTCTGAAGTTAAGTTCCATTACTATAAATGTCTCCCATGAGCCAGAAGTGAGTTTAATTTGTGAATTTTTTTTTTTTTTTTTCTGTACTGAGGTTGAACCCAAATCCTCTCATGTGCTAGGCTTATGATATACCACTGAACTACATCAGAGCCCATAGGATTAGTGGACAGACTGGATATGAGTTGTAAGGAAGAATCACAGAGGCTGGAGTGTACCTCATTGGTCAAGCATGTCCTTGATATGCGTGAGAGCCTGAGTTTGATCTCTAGCACTGAAAACAAAACAGAAAAGAATCATGGAGTAGAACCAGGCTTGTTAGCCTCAGCATCTGGATACGTAGAGTTGCTTCTGACTGAGGCAGGCACTGTGGTGACCAGCCAGGGCATGCTGGTTGGAGACACCTGTGAGGCGTCTAACTGGAAATGCCAACTGGGCAGTGGAGTATGTGAGCCAGAATTGAGGGAAGAGGTTGGACTGTAAATTTAGGACTGGACAGCAGAGGGGATTCAAAGGACTTTACTGTAAAGAGAAGGGGGAGAGTGAAGCAGGGTAAGTATGATCAGGAAAGTTTTGTTCTTGGTGAGATGGAATTTAAATTAGGGTTGCTGAGGCAAGAGAGTCACTAGTTCAAGGCCATCTTGATCAATTTAGCAAGGCCTGATCTCATTTAATTAAGAAAAGGGGTAAAGATGAAGCTCAGAGGTAGAGGACTCTTGGATTCAATCACCAATACCACAAAAAAGATGAAAATTTAAAACTCCATGCTTGCACAGCAAGTGGGGATGATGGGGAGGGTGAGAGAGTAGCCAGAACTATCAGGACCCCCCCCCCCCTCCACTGGGAGGGTCTGGCTACCAGGCTCTTGGCCTGAGGAGGAACGGTCCATTTGGAATAGGTGTCCAGGAAGGGCCAGGGGCAGTCAGAAGGCCATTGACAAATGTCTTCTCCCACAGTGGACATGGGACGAGGGTAGTCACTGGGTGGGGAGCAGACAGGGTGTGGGAGGTTTGCATGGAGTGGGCAGTGCGGCCATTTGTGATTGAGCTTTAATCCACTGTAGAATCCAGCAGCTTGGTGGAGCCTCAGGAAGAGGTGTGTCCAAGCCTCTGCCACTGGGGAGTGACTGTTCTGAATAACTAGGATTGGGCACTGGTTTTTCACTTATTTACAGCTCCCCACCCAGGACTTAATGTCCACTGTTGTTTTGTTCCTTATGCTCTTTTTTATTTCTCCCATACCCAGGTTGAACCCAGGGGTATATAACCACTGAGCATACATCCAGCCCTTTTTATATTTTATGTAGAGATAGGGCCTTGCTAAATTGCCGAGGCTGGCTTTGAACTCATGGTCCTCCTGCCTCAGCCTCCCCATCCACTGATATTATCACCAGCGTGTTTCACGGCTGTGGGCCTGGGTTGAATTTTTCCTATGACGATCATTTTTAGGTTTCCAGTCCTTTTTGTATTCTAAGGAGCCTTCTGCAGAGATCCTGGCAGTTCTGGAGTTAGCGTGTGCTGTGGGGCCATGGTGCCGACCACGAACGGCTTCAGGAGGGGTTGATGGGCTTGCCGGTGGGTTGGATTTGGGGTGGTGAGAGAAAGGGAGGGACCAAATTTACCTTTCATATTTTACAACTGTGTTAGGGTTTCTAAATTTAGAAATGATGAAAAAGGTACATAGTTTTCACTGTTTCTTAAAGTTTAAATTGTTATATTTCAGATTTCAACTTTCCAGATTAATGCTGAATATTTTGCCTTGAAGTCTGTTGGCATCAGAAAAGAGAAAAAGAAAAAATCACTTAATTTAAGTGTGAGTGCCCTGTCAGCCCTGGAGGAGTTGGTCAGCGTTTCTTCTGGTGAGTATGTTTTGGTAAATTTGGGCGTTGTCCACTGAAGCTTCAGAGGACTCCTGCTTGTGATTAAAGGACTGAAGAAGACCACTAATTCCAGCCCTGTGTGTTTCACCTCCAGAAGAAGCAGATGGCTGCCCTATTGTTCTGGTCTGTGGCGCCCAGGACGTTGGAAAGTCAACATTTAACAGATACCTGATTAACCAGTTGTTAAATAGGTAAGAGTGCCTTTATTCTCTTGGTGCACTGCTAGAGTTTAGGCAGGATTTTTTTTTTTTAAAGAGAGAATTTTTTTTTAATATTTATTGTTTAGTTTTCAGCGGACACAACATCTTTATTTTATTTGTATATGGTGCTGAGGATTGAACCCAGCGCCGCATGCATGCCAGGCAAGCATGCCAGGCGAGCGCGCTACTGCTTGAGCCACATCCCCAGCCCTAGGCAGGATTTTTGATTGGAACAGTATGTCAGAACCTCATCCTGCCTTCTCTATGGAGATTTGTACAAGGCTGTGCAGAGCTGCTTGCTGACAGTGATGCACTGGGAATGCAGTGACCTTGAGGCTGCAGGCTGGGCTCGGACTGCCCTAGGGCCTGTGGGTGACTGGCGAGGGCGGGCACTTGGTCTCTGGATGTTTGTGGAGCTGAGGTGCAGATGCCGAGAGTCAGAGTGGGGATGAGTAGTTTTGAAGATGGAATGGTGAAGAGGCCAAGTTGCATGTCTGCTGTGCAAGGTCACTGTCGGCAGGCCTGCGCTTGGTGGTTGTCTCTTGGAGCATTCTGCCTGAAATTGCTGCATGGCGTGCATTATGACTGTGTCATGTGGAACTGTGACTATCTGATTTCTCCTTTCCACAGAGTAAAACTAGTTGAGATTTTCTTTCTTTTCCTTTTTAAACATTTTCAGTATTTCCTGCGTTGACTATCTGGAATGTGACCTGGGCCAGACCGAATTCACTCCTCCAGGTTGCATCTCTTTGCTTAATATTACGGAACCAGTTCTGGGTATGTATTATGTAATTCTTCATTGTCTTGATTTCATAAAATTCAAAAATAATGATACCTGCCCAAAACTCAGTCTGACAGTATAGACTAGAGAAAGTGAGCGCAGTCCACTAAACCCAGGTCTCTGCATAGCCACACCTCCAGCCTCCACACACCCACTAGGGAGTATTTCTGTTTGGGAAGTGGAATTGCTCCTTATTTTGCTTTGTGTAAATTAAAAGCACACCTGTCCTGATATTAATGTTTTATGGGACCTTCTACAACTCTCCAAACCAAGAAATGCACAGTGGTGCAGTGCAGGTTTCAGTCAGAATTCACCAGTTACCTGGTTCAGAATCCAGTATGGAATTCCTTGTTGCTTTATTTTAATAAAATATACAAATGTGTTCATCATTTTAGCCATTTGTATGTATAATTCAGAGGCATAAAGTCCATATACAATGTTTTGTGACCCTCTGTGTATCAAACTTTTAATTATTTTAGTGTGAAATGCTGTACTCATTGAACAGAAATCCCCTCCTCCTTTGTCCCCTAGTTTCTGATAGGTTCCCTCTACTTCCTGTCTATGAATTCTCCTGTTGCAGACCCTGTATGAGTGGAGCCATGCAGTGCCTGTCCTACTGTCGTCTGGCTCGTTTTGCTCAGCATTGTGTTTGCAGGGTCCTTCCATGTTGGAGTGTGTATCAAAATTCAATTCCTTTTTTACAACTGAATATTACTCCATTCCACGTGTTTTTCTACTTGTTTTTCCATGCAGCCATTGGTGGACACTTGGGTTGTTTCCATGCTTTGGCTGTTGTGGAGAGTGCCATTAGGAACATGAGGCATTTAACCTTGTGTTTATTAGCCAATTGCATATCATTTTGGGGGAGGTGGATTACCAGGGATTGAACCTAGAGGCACTTTAGCACCGAGCCACATCCCCAGTCCCCGCCCCCCCTTTTTAAGTTGTAGTTGGACACAATGCCTTTATTTTTATTTATTTATTTTTATGTGGTGCTGAGGATCAAACCCAGTGCCTTACCTGTGCTAGGCGAGTACTCTACCACTGAGCCACAACCCCAGCCCCTTAAAAAAAATATATATGGGGGGGGGAGAGGGAGGGAGGGAGGGAGAGAGGGGTAGGGTCTCACTGAGGTGCTGAGGGATTGTTAATACTGGCTTTGAACTTATGATCCTCCTGCCTCAGCCTCCCAAGCCACTGGGGTTACAAGTATGCGCCACTGCACCTGGCCTCAGCCCTTTTTATTTTGAAACAGAGCCTCACTAAGTTGCTGAGGCTCTCCTCGAGCTTGCATTCCTCTTGCCTCAGCCTCCAGAGTTACTGGGGTGAGAGGTTTGTGCCACTGTTCCTGACCATTTGTATATCTTTGAGTACATGTCTATTGAAGTCCTAGAATACAGCTTTTTTTTTTTTTTAAACCAATGCTTGAACCCAGGGGCACTTCTAACCACTTAGCCACATCCCCAGTCCTTTTTTGTATTTTATTTATTTGGAGACGGTCTCACTGAGTTCTTCAGGGCCTTGCTGAGTTGCTGAAGCTGGCTCCGAACTCATGATCCTCCTGTGCCCCTGAATATTACAGGCAGCTGAATATTGCATATTTTTAATTGGGTTCTTTATTTCTATGGCATTTAGAAGTTGCCAAATCTAGTGTTCATGAAGCTTTTGTTTTCTAAGAATGTTTTCATTCTGACTCTCAAGTCTAAAATCTTTGTTATGCTTAGAACTCGTATTTGCGTAGTATAAGGAACAGGTCCAGGTTGGTTGTTTCTTGTATGTCTATAGATTTCCCCCACTGAACAGTCTCTAAGATCATCTGACTGTATATTTCAGGCTTATAAGTTCTATTCTGTTGGTCTGTATGTCTGTTCTTGTTTCAAGTGCTACACTGCTTTAATTACTATAGCTTTTTTTTTTTTAATGTTGATTCTGTGTCCCACAACATTATTGGATTTATTTTCTGTTGGAATCTTGTGGGTTTTCTACATGTAAGATCATGGCTGTGTATAAGGTCAAGTCAGCTAGTCAGCTGTAAGTAGAGACAGCCTCACTTCCTCCTTTCCTGTTGGGTGCCTGATGATCCGAGCTACGACTCCCAGAGCTGTGTAGACAAGAAGTATGAGTCAGCTTTATTCTTTTTTTTTTAATATATTTTTTTAGTTGTAGATAGACACCATACTTTTATTTTATTTATTTATTTTTATGTGGTGCTGAGGATCAAACCCAGCACCTCGTTCATGCTAGGCAAGCACTCCACCACAAAGCCACAACCCGAGTTCTCGCCCAGCTTGGCATCGCCGGCTCTCTGATTTCAGTCTCTTCATCCCTTCCTGTTTCCTCATCTAAAAGTGGGGATCTTGCCACTGCTCACCTCAGGGCTTTTGTGAAAGTTGGGGACTATGAGCAGAGCAGTCAGTCAGCTGTGTATCCAGGAGCATTGCTGGAGGTCCATCCTCACCCTCTCAGGAGGGGATCCCTGGGCATAGGGAAGGCTTCTCTTTGCCCACAGGGCATCCCAGTGGGGAGAGCCAAGGCAGCAGATGTTCAGCAGGTAGGTGAAGGAATGGCCACGGAGGGCATCATTGGTAACTGTATGGTAAAAGTGAGCCTGTCTTCAGGTTCAGATGAAAGTTTACTCTTCCAAAAATGGAACCACAGCTGTTCCTGTTGTGTGCTTTGGATGGTTGCTCTCCAGCGGCATCCCTAGCCTGGCCTGTTACTCTGCTCTTCATCTTCCAGGACCACCGTTCACCCACCAGAGGACACCACAGAAGATGGTATATTATGGGAAACCTTCTTGTGAGAACAACTACGAGAATTATATTGAGATAATAAAATATGTGTTCAGCTCTTATAAGAGAGAGTGCCCGCTCATCATCAACACTATGGGCTGGGTGGCAGGTAATGAGTGGCACGGGGAGCGTGACCAGCCTGAGCAGCACATGGGTGTGGGTGCCATGGGTGCTCGATGAGCACATGCTGTGCACGTGCAGGCCAGGGTGGCCTAGCTGCCTCCTCAGACCTCAGCGTTTCTTTGTGCTGAAAACATTTTAATAGCTTTTCTTCTAGCTTTTTTGAAATACATGCATTGTACGTTGTCCTTATTAGTAGTCACCCTGCTGTGCAATAGAATGTCAGAATTCATTTGTTCTATGGAGGGAACATGCCTGTTGACCAGCCCTTCCTTGTCCCTTCCTCCCTCTTCTCCTCAGCCTCTTGTCACCACCTTTCCACTGTCAACTTTTTTTCTTTTTAGTATTGGGGATTGAACCCAGAGGCCCTCAACCACTAAGCCGCATACCCAATCTTTTTATTTTTTTATTTTGAGACAGGGTCTCACTAAGTTGCTGAGGCTGTCTTTGACCTTGTGATCCTTCTGCCTCAGCATCCTGAGCCACTGGGATTACAGGCGTGCCGCTCTTATTTTTTGAGGAATTGCCATATTTTTTTTGTGTGTGTGTGTGGTGCTGGGGGTTGAACCCAGGGTCTTGTGCATGCAAGGCCAGCACTCCACCAGCTGAGCCGTATCCCCAGCCCCTGCTGTTATAATTTGCATTCCCACCAACTGTGTGTCAGGGTTCCCTTTTTTCTATATCTTTACCAGCATTTTTGTCAGGTTTTTGTTTTTGTTTGGGGATTGAACACAGACATGCTCTACCACTGAGCTGCATCCCCAACCCTTTTTATTATTTTTTATTTTGAGACAGGGACTCACTAAGTAGCCCAGGCTGGCCTTGAACTTGAGATCTTCCTGCCTCAGCCTTCCAAGTAGCTGAATAGCTGGTATTACAGGTGTGTGCCACCTTGCCTGCCTTTTTTGTTGTTTGGATAATAGCTGTTCTGTCAGAGGAGATGTCTCACTGTGGTTTTGGTTTGCGTTTCCCTGACAACTGGTAATGTTATGCATTCTTCCATCTACACCTGTTGGACTTTTGGATATCATTTGAGGAGTGTCTAGTTATTTTTTTGTTTATTTTCGGGGCTAGTACCAGGGATTGAACTCAGGGGTACTTGGCCACTGAGCCACATCTCCAGCTCTGTTTTGTATTTATTTAGAGACAGGATCTCCCTGAGTTCCTTAGCACCTCACTTTTGCTGAAGCTTGATTTGAACTTGCAATCCTCCTGTCTAAGCCTCCTGAGCCACTGGGATTAGAGGCGTGTGCCATCATGCCTAGTTTGTTTTGTTGTTGTTTTGTTTTTGTTTTTTGCAGTAGTTGGACTAGACCCTAGACTCATGCTAAGCAGCTGCTGTACCACTGAGCTACACCCCTAGCCCTTTTGCCCATTTTTAGTTTGTTTTGGCTGTACTGGGATTGGACCCAAGGCCTCACACATGCTCGGCAGCCACTCTAAAGTTGCATCCCCAGCCCTACTATTGCTTATTTGTAATCAGATTACGTGGGGATTTTTCTTTTTATTTGCTTGAGCTCCTTATATATTCTAGATAAAAAAAATATCCAGTTATCCATCTTTTTGTTTTCTGGTGTTTTTTTTTGGGGGGGGGGTACTAGGATAGAACTCAGGGGCCCTTTTTCAGTTTGCCCCTCCCCTTTTTAGTTTGAGATGGCATCTTACTAAAGGCTGGCCTTGAACTTCCCTTCCTCCTGTCTCAGCCTCCCAGATCGCTGGGGTTGCAGGCATACACCATTGTGCTCAGCAGCAAGCTGAGCTGTTAAACCCTGATGGTCTCTTTGCCTGAGGGTGACTGTCTCTGTTTCTGGTTGGAATGAGGCTCCCCTCTAATCCCCAGCTGTGCTCACATCATCTCCTTCCTCACAGACGAAGGGCTTCTGCTGCTCATTGACCTGATCCGGTTGCTGTCTCCCACCCACGTCATTCAGCTCAGGTCTGCCCGGAGTAAACAGATGGCCAACCTCACTCCGGATTATGTGGATGACATGGATGGCTTGTATACAAAAAGCAAGTCCAAAGTTAGGAACCGTGGCTATGAACTTCCAGAATTTGCAGATAATTTGGAATTTGCTGACGAAGATAAAGAGAGTTCAGTTCTTTTTACTGGACATAAACTTATATGTGTTTATTCAGAATTTTCACCCAGAAAATCTTCAAGGAATAGGTAAGTAAACCATCTGGCTGAAGAGCTGTTTCCTTCGATTGAATGAGGCATTTTGTTTTCACTTCCTTAGAAGGATAAGGCCACAAAAACTTCATATCTGGCCTGAGGGTATGGCTTAGTGGTTGAGTGTTTACCTAGTGTGCATGAGCCTGTGGGGTTCTATCTTCAGCATTACAAAAGCAAAATATTTTCAAATCTATCATAGTTATGCAGTTACTGAGGAGAATCCTTATTTTCTCAATGGAAACATCCAGAGATGTCCTCCAGCTCTTTGCCAGTAGCTTTAGCTTAAGGAGAATCTTGAAGCTTATGTTTTCTAGCAGGGCTGTATCAAGGCAAGACTGAGGATGTAAAGGTGGGGGTGTCTTTGTGGGTGTGGTGCTGGGCTTGAACCCCAGGTCTCATTTGTGCTGGGCAATTGCTGTACCACTGAGCAACACCCCAGCCCTAGGGAGGGCATGTCTTGGAAGAGCACAGCTCAGTGTGTTGTGTAAAAGCCACCTAGGTGGTGACCACACTTGAGTCTCTGCATGGACAGTGGATATGGAAGAAGTTACTTACATCCTTCTCATTTACCTTTGCAGGGAGTCACATAACAGAATTTTTCGAGAACTGGCAGTGTTAGGTTATCTTAGCCAGCTGCTGCCCCCAGTGCCAAAACCACTCAGTCCTTTACATGGCCTGACGCCCTATCAGGTATTTGGGACACGTGGGAGAAATTGTCTGTTTCATTTTTCTCGTGACTTCCTACATGCTGTGCACCCTTAACTCTTGACTCATTTAAGTTAACCCCTTAACTCTTGGCTCATTTAATCCTCAGAACCACCTGTGATGTAGGTTCTATAATCATCTCTATTTTACAGGTGGAGAGACTAAGGTGTATAGAGGCTAGGGGACCCAGCAGAAAGTTAGCAAAGCTGGCATTTTACCCCTGGCAGCCAGCTTGGTGCTGGGCGTTCACAGCTCCATGCCTGTTACTGGTGTTCTTCTGTTGTTCCTAATCCAGTGTCAGTTCCAACACTTGCATTCGTCAGCTGTGTGTGACTGTGTGTGGGCAGTGTCAGATATCACAGAAGGCTTGTAGGCAGCATTTCTTAAAGGAATGCTCTGTGCTCTGCTTTGTTTTAAGCCTGTGTTAACTCCCGTTCCTGTCCCCATTTTACAGATTGTGAGACCAAGGGACTTTGAGTTAGCTTGCCCACAGTAGCCCAGTACAAGTTTAGGTGGGCCTCAAGCCCAAACATGCCTGGAGAGCCCAGAGTCCACTCTGCTGAGTGGTCTGTCTGCTTTGGAACAGCTACTCTGTGCCAGGTCCTTTACAGGGCCCCTCACATGGAATGACTGTGGTTACATGGTAGCCTGAGAGGAAGATGCCCTTAGTGTCCCCACTTAATAGCTCCAAAAGCTGCACACAGCCAGGTGGAGGCCCTGCCTAAGGTCACACAGGCAGTGTTGGCAGACCTGGGTGGGCTTCCAAGTCTTCTCCGCTAGACAGGCAGGTGGTTTGATGGGGTTTCTGATCATGGGGTCATCTATTTGCTTGGAGATGACTCTGTAACTGAACTTGAAACTTACCTGCCAATAGTTTTATCACTTTTTTGTTTTATATTTACTTTTCTTTTGGGGGGTGCGGGTACTAGGGATTGAGCCCGGGGGCACTTTACCACTTAGCCACATCCCCAGCCTTTTTTATTTTTTATTTTGAGACAGGGTCTCCCTAGGTTGCTGAGGCTGGCCTGGAACTTGCAGTCCTCCTGCCTTAGCCTCCCAAAGAGCTAGGATAACAGGTTTACTTTTTAAGTCTAAATAATACATGTAAGAAAATAACTTCTCTACTTTAAAATTTGAAATTACCTAGAAAGTTGCATGTTTTTCATTTACTTTGTGCTCTAGGAATGTAGTCCATCCCACTTCATCTACTGTGTTTAGGTTGGGAAGCGTATGGAGCCTGTCTCGGGATTGCTTCTCACTTTCTTACATCAGAACACTCAGTGGATAGATCTTACTTATACTTGGCTGGAAGTCTCCCTCTGCTTTAACTGATTTAGGACATCTTCAAGTTTGAATTTATTTGTATCTGTAGATAGGAAAGTGCTGGGGATTCAGTTTAGATTTCTAGCAGGTGTGCTGGTGCACAAGCACTGTGTGTATGTTAGGGTCTTTATTAAAGCGTGCAGCCATGGCCAAGTGCTGGCTAGTGCTTCATTTGTTATTTTGGTGGGCAGTTTGGCAGATGTAGATGGCAAGTCAGCTTGTGAAAATTAAAAATAGTTTTTTGAAATAAAAATTAATAGAAGGGTTCACATTTATTTTCCAGGTCCCTTTCAATGCAGTTGCCCTCCGGATTACTCATGCTGATGTCGCCCCCACTCACATACTGTATGCTGTGAATGCCAGCTGGGTTGGCCTTTGCAAGATCCTGGATGATGTCAGAGGCTACACAAGGGGGCCCATCCTGCTGGCACAGACTCCCATCTGTGACTGTTTGGGGTTTGGTGAGTTCAGAGTAAAGCTTGTCCCTAACCTTGCTATAAAGGACCTACTTCAGCCATAGATGATTGGTCTTGACATTGTAGCTATCTCTCAGCTAAAGAGGTCTGAAAAAACATTGCATTTTTTTTCCTTCTCCTCGCAGCTCCTCTGTGTCTAGAATTCCCACTGGCCTTGACCTGGCCCTCTCCCTGGACACCTTTCCCAAGGCCATCCCATCTACTGCTGGGACTTCTCCATCTTTGGACTGACTGCTCCCATACTACACTTCCACCATGACTAGTCTGCCTTCCAAACCCCTTTGCAAGTAGACACCTCCCCATGGGGGTCTTCTGTCCAGACTGAGGCTCTGGTGTTAGTCAGACCCCTTGCCCTACCTGGGCTCCCCTCACCGCATCCGGCACCTCCAGTCCATTGGCGGTTCTTACGGTTTCTATTTTCAAAATATGTGTGGTTCCTGCCCATCTTTTCCCAATGGTAGCCAGGCACTGCATTTCCACAGGGGCTACTGGGAAAGCTTAGCTGGAGTCTCCTAGTTCCTCTCTTCAAGCCCTCCCCAAAGTCAGGTGACCTGAATGCAGAGGTGATGCCACTGCCCCTTCTCCATCTTCACCTCATGGAATTCTCCAGCTCAGAGGTCGATGATGTCAGCATGGAGTTTTGGAAGGCTAAGTAACCCACAATTATCAAAGTCCTTAAATAATTAAATGTACATTTCAGGTCTGTCCAGCATTACTTCTCAAAAGCATTTCCACAGAAATCATGCAGTTTGGTACCAAGTACAGGGAAGAAAGCAGTGATGGGGAAAGGTAGAGTCCTATCTCATCTCCAGGGTGCTTCTCTCAGCTTGGTTACAATAGTCCATGGCTTTTGCAGTAGCTCATTTTGGTTCCTAACAGCTGAATAGGGAAAGGTGCAGAGTTTTTGAGTTGCACTTTATATTCTCAAACCTTAATACACTTAAAACTGAAACTTGTTTTCAAGGCCGTTCTACAAAGTTGCCCAGGCTGGCCTCAGACTTGCTGTCCTCCTATCTCAGTCTCCAGAGTAGCTGGGATGACAGGCATATGCCTCTGTGCCTGGCCCCATTCTGCAATTTTTAGTGGCAGGGAGCTTTGATGTCTCTGGAAAGTCTGATTTTAGTGTTGTGAACTGTCTTAAAGGGATCTGTAGAGGCATTGACATGGAGAAGCGGCTGTACCACATCCTGACCCCCGTGCCCCCAGAAGAATTGAGAACTGTGAACTGTCTCCTGGTGGGGGTCATTTCTATTCCACAGTGCATCTTCAAGAGCCAGGTAACTCCTCCCTGCCCCACCCTGGGGCAGCCCTTCAGGGAGCCTGATTGGGCCATGGCAGAGGGTGAGCAGCTGACTTGAGGCAGCTCTCTAGGGAGTGGAGCCAATTAGAGTGTCATGGTATCCTGGGAGTCCCAGGGATGCCAGCCATGGCGTGTGTGGTCAGAAGCCCCGGGGTGGAGCCATTACCACAGGAAGGGGTCCTGGGAAGCGCAGTGGTGGCCTCTACAGGACTGTCCCTCTTGTGAACAGTCTTCAGAGGCACCCAGCATCTATGCAGCCCACAGTTAACATAGGAGCAAAGGGGCAATAGAGCTGGGGTGTTCCTTTGCTCTCACCTGCTTGGGGATGCAAATGCACAGCATACCCACCTCCTCTTCTGGGGCTTGGTGTATTTGGGGAGCCAAATCAAACAGAAAGGAGGCACTTGCACACTTGTAGGTAGGCCTGTGGCTTCAAGAGGCCTTTTGAAGCCAGAGGCATAGTGGTGCATATCTGTAATCCCAGCCACTCAGGAGGCTGAGGCAAGAGGATCGCAAGTACCAAGGCCAGCCTGGACAACTTAGTAATACTGTGACTCAAAATAAAAATGATGCAGCTCAGTGGCAAAGTACCCCGGGTTCAGTTCCCAGTACCACAAATCAGTGAGAGTAGTGAGGCCCCTGAGGGAGGGAGCAGTGCCTGCGGCACCAGGCTGAGACCCCTCTTCCCCTCACATTGGCTCCCAGGTGCGGAGAGCATACTCTCGAGGCCCAGGCTGAACAGGTTTCCATGTGTTCTCTTTGTGTTTCCATTTCAGCGAGGACCTGAAGGGACGATTCCCTACGTCACAACAGATTATAATTTTAAACTTCCTGGAGCATCAGGGAAAATTGGAGCAAGAGAATTTGATGAGACACAGGAAGGGAAACTGAATCGAAGACCCAGATTCTATCAGAAAAAGTAAACAAATTTCAACAAGGGAAGAGAAGTTTGTACCAGGAAGCTTGGTGTGGAGCCTGATACCAGCAGACCTGGTGGGTTTTGTGGCTAATGATGATGACCTTACGTACAGGTTTCCTGTGGAACTCGTGAGGGTTGTATATTGAAAAGCTGCAAATTTCTCTCTCAACAGTACGTGGCCTAGAACATGGCCCTGATGTTTGTATGGTTAATCATACTTGCAGTCTGGTGTTTTCTAAAGGAATTTAAGGCAGTGAGCCAGTCATGGTATCACACCCCTGTAACCCCAACAACTCAGGAGGCTGAGGCAGGAGGTTTGCAAGCTCAAGGCCGGCCTCAGCAAGTTAGGGGACACCCTGTCTCAGAATAAAAATTAAGAAGCGGGGGCTGGAGTTGTGGCTCAGTGATAGAACGTTTGCCTAGCATGTGTGAGGCTCTGGTTCAATTCTCAGCACCACATATAAATAAAGGTCTATCAACACCTAAAAAGTATTAAAAAAATAAATAAGGAGGGCTGGGTCCTGTAGCTCAGCAGTAGAGCACTCCTGTGTTCAGTGCCCAGTGCCACAAAAAACAAATCAAGCAAGCAGTGGGGAAAAGTTTGTATACTATTAAAATAGGAAGAATTGGGTCAGTTCCTCAAAAAATTCTTCTAGGATCTGGTTATTGGAATATCAGGATAAAAATAGAGAAATTGGGGGCAAGCCTGCATGCCAAGAAGGTCAGAAACTGATGGGCAGGACCTCTAGCCTGAGGTTGGGAGTGCCTGTGGCCTCAGTGGGCAGGTGCAGGCAGGGAGCCTCCGCTCTGTCAACGCCATCAGACTTCTCCCAGCCACATGGATCATAAGTTAGAAAGAAGACTGTATTTGGTCTGTTGCTTTAATAGATAAAGATTTGGCATCAAGAGCCCTTTTAATCTGAGGTGTCACTCAGATTGTCCTCAAATTTGAAAAAGTTCCTGATGACTCTTTAAACCTAAATCTGCTTCCACTGACACCTCACCTCCTTGAAGGTCAAAGAGAGGGCTGCGGGGCAGAGCTCCAACCTTGGCCTACAGCTCTTGTGAAGAGACCGAGTCACAACCTGGGACAGTTGCACCTAAACCTTGCCTAGGAGCAACTCCGACCCTGCCTTTGGGGCAGCTGTCATCACATTCCCTTCTCCCTGGAGGTGGTAGTCCCCATCCTCTGAGAAATGGGACCAGCTTGTTCCTGCACCTGTTGCCCTGTGGTGGGTGCTAAGAAGCATTTCAGACTGCCATGGGGACCAGTGAGGAGTTCCAGCTCCCAGTCCAAGAGGCGGGACACCAGCTCACTTACCAGTGTTTGTCCTGTGGTCAGCGCCTTTGTGGCCCCTGGCAACCTGCAGGCCTGTAGCAGGGCTCACAGATGAGCACAGGACGCCTCGGGGCAGGATACTCAGACCCATGAAGGGCTCCCTTCTTAGCCTTCACCTTAATCTGAAGGCAGCTGTGTTGTGTCTTTCTGGGTTGTCAGTGCAAAGAATTCAAGACAGTTTGCCACTGTCAGCAAGTCTGGGAGAGGGAACTTTGCTTTTAGCCTTTAATTGTGGACCTTGAAATGTCAGTCCCATCCATAAAGAAACCAAGTCAGCACTAGGGGGCGCTGCCAGCCTGCGGTGGGGCTGGGAGGGGTGCCGTTGAGGGGACCCAGGCACGCCTCTAGGGATTTGGAGGTTCTGGAGGTGGCTCTTTAGTCAGCTTAGACCACAATAGTGACATCCTCCTGTGATCTCATTGTCAGTGGCCTTCAGGGTGCTCAGAAAGGGTCAGATTGGACTTGGTCCTCTGATTGGGCAGGCCTGAGGTTCAGCAACAAGGGGCTCTCTGGGGGAGGCATCTTTGCCAGGCCCTTGGCCATTTTCTTAAGTGTGATTTCCACAGTAGAACATGCTTATAGATGAATATGACTTGGGAAGTAAAAACCTTTGGTTAAATGTCAGTTTTATGGTTTTAAAATCAGTTCTTTTACAAAAATCTATCCATGGGAAAAAGACGTGAAAATAATTGAGAAGATTCTCAAAATCTAGGACTTACTTCATAAATAAAGATGGTCCAAGTTGTTTCCATTTGTTCTAAGGTCAGACTTCCTGTGAATCAGTTTATCAGTGTGTCCCCTGCAGCCATCTTAAATACTTTTTAAAAAGCCACTGGAGAAGGCAGTGTGACTGGCCTTAGGAGTGCCTGGGGGTTGGCTCTGTGTGTACCTGGCCAGAGGTGGCGTGCTGGAGCAGGCCAGGCAGACTCAGGGATCCTGCCTCCTCCACTTGGACCCCTCTGATGGGCAGTTACTTAACCCAGGGGACACTCAGTTTCTGCCTGCTAAATGGCATGAAGACTGAGGGATATGGGGTCCCTTTTGTTGTACCAGATGCTGGTTTGGGGGGCGGTGCTGAACCACACCCAGGCCTTGTGCTTGCCAGGCAAATGCTGTGCCACAGACCTACCATCCCAGCCTCTGGTGGTGAGGTTTAAAAAGTCATCTGATGGGGTTAGTTTATCCTTTTGTTTACATGGCGATATAGTGACTAAGGCAGCACGTTTTGATGATAGGTTGGGATCCCAGCCCCACCCCTTCCGAGCAGTGTACCTTTTGGGGGGGGGCGGGTACTGGGGATTGAACTTGGGGTCACTTAACCACTGAGTTGCATAGCACCTTGCTATTGCTGAGGCTGGCTTTGAACTCGTGATCCTCCTGTCTCAGCCTCCCAAGCTGCAGGATCACAGGCATGTGCCACTACACCAGGCCTCTGAGCAGTGTGCCATTTGAGGGGGTTGAGTGACCAAGTCTTCCTTTGAGGTTGGGGTAGTTTCCATCTGGGCTCCTGGGAGAGGAGTAGGTGAGGTCCTGGTATAGGGGCTAGCCCAGTCTCTGGCATGCAAAAGATGGTCCGAACTCCTGGTGTGTGGCCTGACTAGGTTATGAGCTAGACAGCAGACCCCGAATTATGTCCCTCACAGTTGTGTTGAAGGATACGGACACTGCTTACCCATCTTGCCTCCATTTACACCTGTGGAGGATGGTGTGGAACCCCTTCTCATAGGTAGCACCCTGGATCCCAAGAGGCTGCTGTGTCACGTCTGTGTGCGCTTATGAAATTGTGCCCTGTTACAGATGGTTTCCACCCAAATCGTCTATTTGTACATGAACTCTGTCATTAAAGATTTTTGAGAACACGAATGTAACTGTGTGATTTTATTATGTAAATAAGCCATTTTATTCCAGGTAGTTAAGTGCCTATAAGGTACTGTGGCAAAAAATGGAAGGAATTTAATGAGTTAGGGTGCCAAAGCAGGAGACTCTCCGCTACCCAGCAGGTTCCTGTGCTCACTTTCTGTCAGTGTTGCTGGGGTTCATCTTAGTCTTCCTTTGTGGGCCCCTTTGTAAGTTAAGGGAGCCACATCCCTTCTGGGCTGCCTTGGAAAGCGCTGGAGAGAACAAGCCGCAGCCCAGCATGGGCGGGGCGGGGGGGCCAGGGCATACCTGTAATCCCAGCAGCTCAGGAGCCTAAGGCAGGAGGATCATGAGTTCAAAGCCAGCCTCAGCAACTCAGTGAGACCCTGTCTCAAAAAGACTTTTAAAAAGGGTTGGGGAGGGGGTGGGGATGTGGCTCAGTGGTTAAGTGCCCCTAGGTTTAATTCCCGGCACGAAGGGGAAAAAAGCAAGACCTGAACACGGGTCTGCTGGTGAAGCTGCAGCATGAGTTCTGCTCATAAGTCTCCCTTCCTAGGCTGGGCGGGCGAGAGAAGGAGACAGTGACAATCTCTGCCGCAGGAGAGGCCCAGGTGACCTGCAGGGCCCCCCTCAAGAAGACTTTTGCCAGGGAGGGACCTGCAGGGCCCTCTCAGGAAGTCCTTTGCCAGGGAGGGGCAGGAGGATGGCGGTGCTGCATGCTGAAAGGAGTCTTGTGCCACAGGCCTAGTCCGCTCATACCAGGCGCTGGGTAAGCAGTCTTGAGATCCACAAATAGAGCTGAGCTGGGCAGCCCAAGGTTGCCATGGTTACTGGCCCTGATGCCACCACCTTGGTGGCTCAACTGAATGTGGCTTGGCTTTTTCTATTGCTTTGGAGCTCCCATAGTCTGATCTGTGACCAGGCTATGACTGTCCCTGCTTGGCAGAAGCCACCCAACTTTCAGGCCTTTCTCACCAAGGAATCTAGCTGAGGGATTGCTGCAGACTTGGGTTCGCAGGACTAAGGCCTCCATGGCTCTGTGTTCCCAAGAAGAAGGGAAGGCTCTGTTCCGGGGGTGACTGGGCTTGGCAATGGAAAGTTCAAGGGGGAGAAACCAACATGGAAAGTGCAAGCCATGGTTCTGAAGCGGTATGTTAAATATATAATGCCCAAGAGACCAGTGTTGGAGGGAAGCAAATTGGCAGGGCTGAGGGCTCTGGGGTTTTCTGTGCAGACAGATTCAGCTAGAGAAATTAAGATTGGAGCTCGTGCTGGGAGAAGTCCTTCACAGCCAGGACTGCAGCTGGGCAGAGGGACAGAGACTCAAGTGGCTGATCAGAGAGGCCTGTGGTCTGGGCATGTGGTTGGAGGGCCAGGCAGAGTGCTACCATCCTGGAGGTCAAGCATGAACTCAGTCTTGACAAAACATGGGCCACCATCTCGAAACTGGCTCACCCTTCATCCCAGGAGCAGTGAGTGCATTTTCTCCCTTTGGTTTGTCTGGAAAGAAAGATTGAAGATATGGAGCAAGAAGCAGAAGCTGTGCAGGTCTTGAAGGGACCACCAAGACCCCATGCTTAATTAGCCTAGACCCTTACAAACTACTCTGTAGAGCTGGGGGGTGCAGTGCGGTGGTAGAGGGCTTGCCTACCCTGTGCAAGGTCCTGGGTTCCATCCCAGCACTACACACACACACACACACAAAAATAAAAAATAAAAAAACACTTTGCTGGCCGAAACAGCTTGTTCTCATTAACCAATGACTTCAGAGCATAGAGGTCAAAGGCCTCCCAGCCCAGAAATTTCAAATTTCAGCTATCAGCTCTGGTTTGGAAAGCAGAATGAGAAGGTGCCTCAGAACCTCCAATGTGTCACATTTTGCAGACTGTCACATTTTGTGCATTAAAATTGGGCCCCCAAGTTCACTTTCAACATGTGCCATGACATATTTGGGGAGTGAGGGTCAGGAGTCATGTCCTTGGAATCCAATAGCATCCCTTCAATGCATGTTTGGGGCCCTGGCCTGGGAAGCAACCTGATCCCAGCCTAAGAGAGATGGGCCTGGGGCACACAGAACACTGACTTCTCCACTAGTATCCAAATCAGAGCCTCTGTTTCAACCTTTCCCTGCCCCCTGCCCTGTGGCATGGCCAAGACAGATTTATGAAGCAATCGCAGAGAATCCCTCCCAGTGCTACACGGGCCCCTCATCCCAGGCGGGGTCCAAGCTTCTGGCGCTCCCTTAGTCTCACCCACAGGCAGAACTCAGGCGTTCCAGACTGGGCCCTGCTGGGGCTCCAGAAGATCCATGTTGGCAGCTAGACACATTGACACATGAGCCCTACGATGTCCAGTCGCTTCCAGGTCCATGGCTTGTCTTGCTAAAGGCAGAGCATGTCCGGGTGTGGGCAGAATTGGGGCTACAGGCCTTGGGAGTGTCCCTGCCTCGTGAGTGGCACCTGCTCCTCTTCAGTGTGTACATGTGGCTTTAAGTCCTTCAAATTAAGAGATAAATATAAATACACACATGTACTTTTTGTTCTGCTTGTAAAAGCAATCATTTTCACTGTAAATTTTTCAAACAGTACATAAATACGATATGTCCTTTTCCAGTTTGTTGAGAATTTTTTTATGAATCACACACACATATCTATGTATATGTGTATATGGAAAATATTTTAAACAAAATGGTAGAAAGTATGTTTCCAAATTGCCTTTTTCAGTTAATATTATATTTTGTTGTTGTATTTGATACTGAGGATCGAACCCTGGGGCACTTAATCACTGAGCCACATCCCCAGCCCTTTTCTTTCTTTCTTTCTTTTTAAAATATTTTTTAGGTCTCAATGGACCTTTATTTTATTTATTTATATGTGGTGCTAAGAATCGAACCCAGTGCCTCACACATTCTAGGCAAGTGCTCTACCACTGAGCCACAGCCCTACAACCCAGCCCTCCTCAGCCCTTTTCTGTATTTTCTTTAGAGACAGGATCTTGCTAAGATGCCGAGGCTGGCTTTGAACTCGTGATTCTCTTGCCTCAGGCTTCCAAACCCCTGGGATTGCAGGCATGTGCCACTGCACCCAGTTAATACTATAGTACTATGTTTTGGACATTTAAATAACGCCAATACGTGGGCTGGAGATGTAGCTCAGTGGTAGAGCACTTGCCTAGCAGGCATGAGGCTGGGATTCCATCCCAGACACTACAAAATAAAAAAATAAGAGTCAACTCGTACAAATAGCCTTGTTTCTTTCATTCATTCGTGTGTTCCTTCGTTCCTTTATTCTGGTGTTTTGGCTTGAACCCAGGACTCATGCGTGCTAAGCACGTGCTTTGCCACTGAGCTCCAGCCCCCACCTCATTTCTTGTAAAGGCTTCATAATAACGAGGCTCTAACTTGACTATTCAGCTGGCCTGTGATGGATACCTCGGTGGTTTCCGGTTTTCACACCTTAAGTGATAGCACAGTGAGTGTCCCTGCACCTGATCTCTGCACTTGTGAAGGATCCGTGGGGTGAATCCCAGGGAAGTGGGGTTGCTGGGTGCAAGGTGAGAAGGTTTTTCATTTGAATAGAGATATTTCCCTATTGTCACCTAGACAGCCACTACTGCCATCAGAGGATTTCGTCCCTTTTTGTGCTCTTTAGGCCTGGTCATCACCTTCGTGAGCATGTCTCCAACACATGGGGGTGGGTGGCTGGATGGGCCCCTACATAGTCCCAGGCATCTCTGCTCACCCACTCCCATTGCTGAAATGCTGTGGCTCTTGGTGGCGGGGTGGGAGGCTGCAGCAGAATCCAACTTAGGCTTCTGGAGCAGGTGGGGCCAGAGAGGATACTGATGCTTCACTCTTACCTTTCTTGTTAGTTTTCCATTTCTAAGGGCCCCTTATACAGTAAGAGGCCATAGACCTGTGTGGAATCAAGCAACTTATTACTGTGGGATCTTAGGCAATCACTCTGGCTTTCTGAGCTCTGGTTTCATTATCTGTAAGTAGAGATAATAGCGGTGCTTGCTGTCCAGATACAGTGGAGATCAGACACTGTAAAGTTTTAGTGCCTATCTGACAATTTTATCCCAAGTTTTTTGGGCCCCGTTTCATTGTCATTGTTTCTGTTGGTTTTCAGTCATGGGGTCATATTCACTTGTATGCCTAGTTTGTTTTTTTGTGTGTGTGTGTGTGTGTGTGTGTGTGTATGTGTTTATTTTTTTATTTTATTATTATTATTATTATTATTATTTTTGCTATGTGTTGGAAATTGTATTTTTGGGGGGAATACCAGGGATTGAACTCAGGGGCATTTGACCACTGAGCCACATCCCCAGCTCTATTTTGTATTTTATTTAGAGTTTGGGTCTCACTCAGTTGCTTAACACCTCGCTTTTTTGCTGAGGCTGGCTTTGAGTTCACAATCCCCTTGTCTCAGCCTTCCAAGCTGCTGGGATTATAGGCATGAGCCACCACACCTGGCTGGATATTGTATTTTAATAATTACTTGCTGGAAAAATTTGAGGCCTGGGAGGATAGATTTTTATATGCTTCTGCAATAGACTAGGATGACCTAAATCCAAATTTAACAACTGTGGTTCCATGAACTTTGAGCTTTATAGGCCTATCTAAAGGAAAAATCCGTCAGGGTATAGGTGGCCATACCTGTAATCCTAGTGACTAGGGAGACTGAGGCAGGAGGGCCACCAGTTCAAGGTCAGCCTTAGCAACTCAGAAAGAGCCTATCTCCAAATTAAAAATAAATAAATAGAGATCAAAAGGGCTGGGGATGGGCTGGGCGCGGTGGCACATGCCTGTAATCCCAGTGTCTCAGAGGACTGAAGCATAAGGGTCACCAGTTCAAAACCAGCCTCAACAATTTAGCAAGGGTGCTAAGCAACTCAGTGAGACCCTGTCTCTAAATAAAATACAAAATAGGGCGGGGACGTGGCTCAGTGGTCCAGTGCCCCTGAGTTCAATCCCCAGTACCCTCAACATAAGGTCCTTGCTTAGCATCTGGAGGGCCATCTTCAGTGACAGCAGTCATTTTAAGGAAAAAATTTCACTTTCCCACCCAAGGAAGGGCCTTTCTGAGAAAGGCTCACCATTCCCTCATACCAAGCCCCAACCCCTAACTGTCCTCATCAGGACCCGCTCGGCTCTGATTCCTGAGCCTGCCCCATAGAAGTCCCGGCACCCAAGCCTTTTGGCCTCTCTCTTTATTTGTCAGCTCTGACAGACTCTCCTGGGTATCTCTGCCTGGTCTCCCATTCCTTCACCCTTCCCTTCACCCCTCCCCCCCAAAACAGGGCTGGGGATGTAGCTTAGTGGAAGAATGGCCCTGGGTTCAGTCCCCAGTATGGGGAGTGGGGGACAATAAAGCTAATTTCCCAACTTTCTTCAGAATAAACACCTTGAAGGCGGAAGCATCGGGCTTTATCTCCCTGAGCCGGGTTGGCTGGTTTCTCTTTTTCTCTTGGAGATTAAACCCAGGGTCTCTGGCTTGCTGGGAGAGTTGATCTATTTTTTTTTTTAATATTTATTTTTTAGTTTTAGGTAGACACAGTATCTTTATTTTTATTTATTTATTTATTTTAATTTGTTTTAATTAGTTATACATGACAGTAAAATGACTTTGATATATCATTCATTTGAATCAGATGGGATATAATTTCCCATTTTCTGAGTGTACAGGTTGCAGAATCTCTTTATTTTACATTTATGTGGTGTTGAGGATCAAACCCAGTGCCTCACGCATGCTAGGTGAGCACGCTACCACTGAGCCACACACAACCCCAGCCCAGAGTTGATATTTTTAATATTTAATAAAAAACTTTTTTCCACTCAGCATTTTGGTTGTCCCAAGTGGGAAGAGGGTCTGAGTCACTTAATCCATTGTCATGGTCATGGGAAGCGCAGGCCTCACTGAATGGTCACCTGTTTGAAGCGTTTAGCCCAGTTCCTCCCATGGTTGGTGTTACATCCAAACCTTCAGGAGAAGAAACTAAAGTTCCTAACTTATGACAAGACAGAAGAGAGGCTTTCTGTGACCAACCAACCCAGAGCCACAGCAGGGTCATAAAGCCTCTGTGCCCACTTAGTCCTTCCCACGTCTCTAAGCTCCCACCCATAATTACTTCTGTGATAGCAGCTTTGAAAATCTCAGTCGGGACAGCGACGCAAGATGGCAGCGACCATGGGCTCGGACAATTTATGAAAACCGAATATACAGCCTTAAAATAGAATGTGGACCTAAATACCCAGAAGCACCCCCCTTTGTAAGATTTGTAACAAAAATTAATACGAATGGAGTTAATAGTTCCAATGGAGTGGTGGACCCAAGAGCCATATCAGTGCTAGCAAAGTGGCAGAATTCATATAGCATCAAAGTTGTTCTGCAAGAGCTGCGGCGCTTAATGATGTCTAAAGAGAATATGAAACTCCCCCAGCCTCCGGAAGGACAGTGTTACAGCAATTAATCAAAAGCAATGCCACCAGCCCTCCCCCCATTCGATTTAAGCAGTCTTCATTCTCCACCCTAGTAAATTTTATAGATGCGTCTTGTAGACCTCAAAATACTGGAAAGGAAGCTCCCATTCGAAGGCAATTTATCTTAAGATACTGTAAATGATACTAATTTCTTGTCCATTTGAAATATATAAGTCGTGCAATAACAAATCAAAAAAAAAAAAAAGAAAATCTCAGTCGGAGCTGGGCATGAGGGAGCATGCCTGTAATGCTGGCTGCTTTGGAGGCAGGAGGATCACAACTCAAGGACAGCCTGGACATTTAATGAGACCCTCTCTCAAAAGAAAAACAAAAAGGCTTAGGGATGAGGCTGAGTGGCACAGCACCCCCGAGTCCAATCCGAGACCACATCCTTTCTCCCTTCACGTTCACTCCAAATAAAGGTCAAAGTCCTCACTGGCCCTGGTGCCCTCACCTCTAACTGAATTTTGTCCTTGCATATTCTGCTACAGTCACTTGGGCCTCCTGTTTCCTCTCTTTGATTGATTGATTGATTGATTGTGGGTACCAGGGATTAAACTCAGGGGCACTCGACCACTGAGCCACATCCCCAGCCCTATTTTGTATTTAATTAAAAATATATATATATATATTATATATATTATAATATTTTATATATATATATATATATATATATTTTTTTTTAATTTGTAGCTGGACCCAATACTCTCTCTTCATTTGTGCCGCAGTCTGTCTGGGCACAAAATAACCGAGCCGCCACAAAGCCTTGTAGGTTCAAACAGCAACTCTTTATTCCCCGACTCTCACCGGCACTCTACACACACTTCCCAGGAACACACTCCCTCCACCGGGCTCCGTGCGCCAATTCTCTCGGAACCCCACCAGAACTCAACGGGAACTCCAAAGTAGCGGGCGCCCGAGGCAGCAGGATCCGCCCTAATCCCCGGAGCCGTCCTATTCCAGGGTCACCTTTCAACCATTCCCTCTAGCAAAATGCCAGGCGTCATTCCGACTAAACTGTGGCTCTCAACACATTTATTTATATGTGGTGCTGAGGTTTGAACCCAAGGCCTCGCACATGCTAGGCGAGGGCTCTACCACTGAGCCACAGCCCCCTATTTTGTATTTTATTTAGAAACAGGGTCTTAGCGCCTTGCCTTTGCTGAGGCTGGCTTTGAATTCATGAGCCTCCTGCCTCAGCCTCCTGAGCTGCTGGGATTACAGGCATGTGCCACAGTGCTGGCTCTTATTTTATTTTTTGTATGTTTCCTTCTTTAGGGTGACCAAAACTCACCCTGGTTTTCTAACTGAAATCCTGTGTTCTGGAACTCCTATTGGTCCAGGGCAGACTGCAACAGTCGGTCATCTTCATTCAAACACAACATACAGCTCTGCCTTGGGGCCTTTGCACACGCTGATTTTGCAGCTTGCGGTGCTTATCCCAGATATATGCCTGGCTGGCTCCCTCATGTCATTCCAGGCTCTGCCAAAGTCACCTCTCTCAGAGAAGCAATATCTAGAATAATGTGCAAGCACACGTGCACACAAAGACCCATTCTGTCCCTCTAACCCCTTTATATCCCTTGAGGTATATAAATGAACAGGACCCAGGCAGAACCTCTCAGAGTCTGGCCTGAGGCCGTGGGGGCCGCCTGCATTGCAATGCCAAGACCGGCTGAGGCCCAGCAGCTGCCTTGCCCAGAAACTGCCTCCACAGGCTGTACCTGTGTCCTGGGCTTCAGGCAAGGAGGGGCCCTTGACTTCTGTGGGCCGACAGGAAGACAAGGCCTATCTGAGATCCTGGGTCTCTCCTGGGCAGATCTGGGGGACAGCGAGGACAGTTTCCAACCAGAAGGGCCAGTGCACCAGCAGTGAGGATGTTTGAAATCCCAGCTGGCCTAAGTCTGGACAGTCTCTTCTGTGCTTGGGAGCCTGGCTCAGAAGCCTTTGTTCCTCGGACGGCTTGGCCTCCCGAGGCCCAGGCTCTCAGTCTGTCTGGCCAGGTTTGAAAGTCTGCATGGGCTGGGGATGTGGCTCAAGCGGTAGCGTGCTCACCTGGCATGCGTGCAGCCCAGGTTCGATCCTCAGCACCACATACAAACAAAGATGTTGTGTCCGCCGAAAACTAAAAATTCTCTCTCTCTCTCTTTTAAAAAAAAAAAAAAAGAAAGTCTGCGTGGCTGGAAGCTGGCAGCGAGCCTGGGACATGGCCCTCCTGGGGAGCAGGCCCCACTCTCCTCCTCTCCTCCACCCCAAGCTGAGGGCTCTCTGGTGCCCAAGGATTTCTCCCCAGTGCTGGGTCTTCGATCTTCCAGGGGAAGCGGCCAGACCGGGCCAGGCCAGTGTCCAGGCCCGCAAGATGCCCTCTGGCCAGAGTCCTCCCTGGAGGTCACAGGAGCCCTGCTACCTTCACCCACAAGGGTGGGGCAGAGCCTAGTTGGACCGAGCCTTGAGGAATCTGAAGGTCAGCCCAGCAAGAGACATTAACTGTGAACAGATTCAAGTTCAAATCAACAAGCATCAGCTCCAGGCCAGACTGGTCCTGGGCCTCACTTTCAGGAGAGCAGGAAGCCAACTGCGTTCCTGGGGCTCCTGCACCAGATGGAGCAATGGAGCAAGCACAACCCTCTTCACTATCATCTGGAGTAGATCGGACCCCAAGGACTTCCTGGGACTGGTGGGAGGAGCCATCGCCTCCACTCAGGGGCCCTCTATCACTAAGCCACATCCCCAAATCTTTTATTTTTATATATATATATATATATATATATATTTCTTTTTTTTTTAAGTTGTCAATGGGGGCTGGGGATGTGGCTCAAGCGGTAGCGCGCTCACCTGGCATGTGTGCGGCCCGGGTTCAATCCTCAGCACCACATACAAACAAAGATGTTGTGTCTGCAGAAAACTAAAAAATAAATATTAAAAAATTCTCTCTCTCTCTCTAAAAAAAATAAGTTGTCAATGGACCTTTTTTTAAATTTATTTATATGCAGTTCTAAGAATCTAACCCAGTGGTTCACATATGCCAGGCAAGTGCTCTACCACTGAGCTACAACCCCAGCCCACCCAAACCTTTTTTTATTTTTTATTTTAAAATAGCATCTTGTTAAGTTGCAGAGACTGGCCTCAAGCTTGTGATCCTCTTGTCTCGGCCTCCTGAACAGCTAGGATTGCTGGTGTGCGCCACCACACCTGGCTAGGAGCAGGTTTTAAACCAAAGCTGAGATGTTTTCAGATTTGCATTCTGACCTTGCTGTGATTATTGTCTGTTGTCCTTGGAGCCTCCACCATGTGTGTCCTTGAGTGTAAAGGTCGCCCTTCTGTATTAAACCACTCAATTCCCAGCATCACTCTGAGGTGGCCTTGTGAGTACCTCTACTGTACAGATAAGGAAACTGAGGCCCAGGGAGGTTAAGCAACTTGCCCAAGGGGGTGTAGCCAAGGGAGGTGGGGTTTGAGCCCAGGTGATCTGCCTGGTTCTGGAGTGGACAAGAGTGAGGCTACGGTAGTGGTAGCCTGAACCTGGGCCAGGGCAGGCCAGCAGCTGGAGTGGAGCTATTCTGGAAGCACAGTCAGCCTGCCCCAGGCTACACCTGTCCCCAGGCTACACCTGTCCCCAGGCTGCAGTGGGTGGATGGGTGGGTGACAATGGTCAGGCCAGCCCTGGACAGTGACTGCCTGCCTGCCCTACTGCCTCTGGGGAGACTCCTGGGTCTGAGGGGTCTGTTGTACAGCTGCCCAACCCCCATGCCCAGTCAGGTGGTCAGGAGGGGTCCAACTTCCTTGAAGCCCTTGTGACCGTGCTCCGAGGTGGCATTTGCTGCCCTCTGTTTGTCCACCCTCAACAACATCCAGGGCTAGAATGGGCCTTTTGGAGGCTAGAAGGAGGCTGTTGGAGGGGAGGGGATGGGGCCGGGCCGGGGAATGGTTGAGGCTGCAGGGAAGGGCTGGCTCAAGGCCAGGCGGGGTGGCCAGGTTTCTACCTGTGTTTTCCAAACTGAGGAGCCCGCAAGCTGACTGAGGCCTGAGGCCCATGCGTCTGAATGAATTTGGAGGGGAGGGCTCTGCTCTCGACCCCTCCTGCAGGTGCCAAGCCTGGGCACACTGCCTGCTGGATGGAGTTGGCCTCCACCCACCCAGACTCCACCAGGGTCACCAGCGAGTCAGTCCTGGAGTGCCCTTGGCACAGGTCTCCAGAATGTAGAGGTGGATTCCACTCTTTACCTGGAGCTGGGGGTCTGTTTGGGGTACTGTGGGGGCCTGGCCAAAGGGACAGAGGCAGGAGAGCCAGAGGCGGGTGGCTGGTATATAACAGGGCTCTGGCAGGACACCATTCCTAGCAGCTCTGCAGCCTGGCCTGGGGCACTCACGGCAAGCAGCCTGTGGAGCAGACTCTCACGCAAGCTGGGCGGTTGGCGCTGGGCATGGCCCCCGCCAACACTCAGGTAGCTGGCTCTTCTGAGCTGCCCTGGAGGTCCAGACAGGCTTCCTCAGACACTGAGAGGGGGAGGAAGGCATGTGGCCACCTGCCCCTGGAGGTTTCAGGGGACCACAAACAGTCAATGGGCCCTACCTAGGAAGGTGGGGCCGCTTGATAAGATGCCAGGACCCCACCAGTCTTCACCACCTCCTGGTGAGACTTTGCCTTCTGCCAGTCTCCTTTCAAAGCCCTGTTCAGGGTCTCGCAGAGCTGACATGAGGGGGCTCTCAACCACTTCACAGATGCAGAATCTGAGGCTTCAAGACCCATCAGCAAGGCTACCCAGTTAGTGGGGCAGAGGCAGAGTTCTGAGCCAGTTCTTACCCTGAGCGGAGCTGCCCTGAGGGGCCTGGGGCCTAGCACAGTGGGAAAGGGGCCATCCAGATGGCTGAAAGGAGAAAGGACATCCCGGGGGCCCTGGCTTGTGAGCCCAGGCAGGACGGGGGCCAGGGCCAAGGTCTCTCCTCATGGAAGCTTTCTGGGAGACAGCGGGTGTCGGGGCTGTTGGCCAGCTCGTGCCACCTGCTCCTCTTCCTCTTCTGGTTCCTTAGTCGGCAGGATCCTGCCGTGCCCTCACTAGGCACTTCTGCTTTCAAGGAAGCAGCTGTGGTTGGCAGAGGACCCAACCCCTCCTCATGTCCCAACCGTTGCCAGGGACTGGAAGAGGCAGCCCCTGTCTCCGGCTCCCCCAGGCTGGCCCATGTTCAGTGGAAATAAGAGGCAACCCCTGGGGTCTCCCTGTTGGGGCGAGGCCTCCAGCCCCCGAAGGACAGCCCCAGGGGCAGGCATGAGCCAGTTGGTCCCTGTCCCCTGGGATCTTCCCTCCCAGAGCCTGTGGGCTTCCAGAGGACTGAGTCGGAGAGGCAGGACAGGGCTGCAGGAGGACAGCCTTCCAGCCCGCAGCCGCCGCCGCTCTCTGGCCTCCATCTCCCCAGCTGTATTCTGATGAGACCCAAGATGCACTTGAGAGTGGGTGAGGGCCAGTTCTGGAGTGTGACAGGCACTGGGATACAGCCATGGCTTCCCCTTGCCCTAGCACTGTGTGGCCTGGGACAAATTTCAGGTCTGTGTCCTTATTGTCTCTGTCTTTGTCACAGGGATGACAGAGGAGAGGATTAAATGAGACATGTATACAGTGGTCAGTGTGGCCTCTGGCCTTGCAGAGTACAGTTGTCAGTATTACCAGGCCAGGGACAGCAGAAGCAAGACAAGCCCCAACCCAGCCGTCAGAAGGATACAGAGCTACCCCACGTCAGTCAGCAGCCCCCCGCCCAGGGTCCACTGCCTCTCCTGAGGGCCACTGAGGCTCTGTCCTTGAGCACTGCTGGGGGAGCCAGCTCTGACCCACAGAGGCTGCCTGCTGCCCTCCCAGGTGGGGAGGCTCCTTCTTGGATGGGACGAGAGCAGGAGACGGAGGCAGCAGGGAGGTGGGAGGAGGAGGCATGTTCGGAGACAGAAAATTAGGGGGTGGGGTTGCCAGCATGGTGAGACTGGGGCTCTCAGATCTGAGTGTGGCCTGCCCCCCCTTCTCCACAACACCGAGCACGCCAGGGGGCCTGCTCCCAGGAGGCTCCAGGATCTGAACCCAAAAGGGCCCCTGGGAGTCGGGCCTTCTCAGGGGTGCTCCTTGTGTTCACGCCAAAGCTGAGGAGACACTGGAAGAAACCTTGGCCCTCACCGGGGTGGGGCTGCTCTGGGATTGGTTGTCCTGAAATCATAACCTGGTGTGGCTCCTGCCACACAAAGAGGGGTCTGGTTGGGTGACGCCCCCCTTTCTGCAGCCCTGGCCTCTGCTGGCAGTGGATGGCAGGCAGTGGGTGGTCTCGTTCCCCAAGCCTCAGTCTGACCCTCCACGCTGAACACAAGCTTGGGTACCCTGACCTTCCGTGGGCTCCCAGGGAGCTGTGCTGGTCCTTCCTGGCCCTGTGCCGCTGGAGGTGGGGGTAGCAGGCATATGGTTCCAGTTACCCCAGACGCCTCCTGGCACCTCGTCCCTCAGCTGGGGGTACACAGGCTGCCTAGATGGCCATCCTGCCAATGTAGCCCCCACCACAGCCCTGCGGTGACCCAGGTGTCTGGTCAGAGGGGTGCTGGCTCTGTTCTGCTCTGCCCCTGCCTAGGCTGGGGTAGAGGGTAGACGGCTGGAGATTCACCCACTGAGTCATACAGAAGAGGCTGGCAACAGGGCAGAGGCTGGTGGGAGCTCAGGGCAGGGCACTCTTGGCCCCATCAAGTCTAGATTTCCAAGGGGCCATTCCACTGCTCTCTGAGCCCTTGGCCTTCCTCCCCAGGTGGCTCTCCGGTTCCTCAAGCCACCTTTGAAGTGAGATGGTCCTGGGTCCAAAGGTGAGCTCTATCCTTAAGCTGAACCTCAGTGTCCTCCTCTGCCACCAGAACACTGTCCCCCTCCAGGGGAGAGCCACAATGATTGGGCAGGGCAAAGGTCACTTGGAATAGATGTAGGAGTCTCTGCACCCAAGACCTAGTATAGGCTCTCGGTTGTTATTTTCAGCTTGAAAAATGTGTGATTTTCCCAAGACCCCGTGCATAGATGGGGCAGTGGCTGGCTGGCTTCCATTTCTCTCACCATTTGTATTTTGTGGATGGCTCTGTAACCCCAGCCCTTCGGCCTTTCCCCAGCCTTTTCTGCCCTCAAATCCACTGTGGAGGATGCACAGAGGCTCCCTAACAAGGCCAGAGTCCCTTTGCCCAGGCTCAGCCCACCCAGGGTTTCATGCATGACACCACCATTGGCGTGGGTGACAGTCTGAGGAGAAAGGCAGAGAGGTGGGCAACCTGGTGAAGAGGGGCCAGCCCAGAGAGGGTGAGAGCCAGGCCTCCCCGGCAGCTGGAAGGAAAGACCTGGCCAGAAGCTCCTGCCCCCTGACCCCCTGAAAGCTCCCCTTGGGGACTTGGCCCAGCAGAGCTTGGGGACTTGTCTGAGCTCCCTGGCAAGGAGCTGGACGCTGCCTGGGGGCATCCCCCGGCACCCTACAGGTGCTTCCATTCCTCACTGAGAGACCTGTGGGCCAGCTGGGGCTGACAGGTCAGAGGTCAGGGGAGGGAGCTGGAATTGCTCCTGGGGCAGCACATTTTTCTCCTCTGAAAACTTATCTTAGCAAAA